GTTTATATATATTTGAGTATAATATTAATGAAAAAATTGTAATTATATATAATATAATACAAGATTTAATAAGACATATGACCCAAAAATTTATATAACTAATTTTATGCAATTTTTTTAATAAATCTAAAAGTTATATATATATATATATTAAAACATATAAAAGAATTATAAAGTAAAAAATAATAAATATGATAAATAATATTAAAAATATAATTAAGTTATAAGACTTACTATAAATATGAAAAATGTAATAAATAAAATGTTATAGTTAATAAAAATAAAGATAAAAATTTTAAAACTTGTACTTATAGATGTAAAAGAGCTGAGTTATTAAATGCTTGTTAATTTTATGTTCTTGTTAATTCTAGGTGTAAGTTTTAAGTGATAGACAATAGTTATTTGTACTTTTATCCATTATTATCTTCAAATTAATTAAAAATATTTAGGTAATCGTGATGTGCCTATATACCTTGAAAATTGATTATTTTTTACCAAGAAGTTAAATCGATATATTACCATTTCTCATCAATCTATTAATATGTATTATTATAATAAGTAAATTTTTATTAAAAATTTATCGGAGTAATTTTTTTATATTTGAGTATAATATTAAGGAGAAAATTTTAATTATATATAATATAATATAAAAATGTACAACTATAATTATATATATATATATAAAACAATATAAAATAAGAAAGTATTAAATCTAATAAATAATATTAAAAATATAATTAAGTTGTAACACCTTCTACTAAGTATGAAACAAAAAGTAATTACTAAAATTGTTATAAATAACAAAAATAAATATATAACTTTTAAAAATTGTACTTATCGATGTAAATGAGTTGAATTGTTAAACGTTTGTTAATTTATTGTGCTTGTTAATTCTAGGTGTAAGTTTCATGTTATTGACAATAGTTTTTTGTACTTTATCCATGTAGTTCAGAGATTTTTTTTTCTAAAATAAAAAACAAATAAACCAACTGTAATGCAATAGGGAGAAGAAAAAGTGGATTTAAATTTTTTTAGAAAAGTATGAATACCAATATCAAGAAACAAAAATCTTTTATAATTACTACTTTTTGTTGCTAACATTTAAATATATGTTATCTACAAGAAATTGGTTCTCATAAATAATGATTCCATATTATCATAATATAAAAAATAAACTTCAATAATGATTTCATAATAATAAAGTTCACAGTAACTAAGAGTATTATTGTATTATAGAATTCAAATTCTTCCCATCTGAAATAATTTAACAAAAATTATATATAATATTGTGTGCAATTAATTATTTTGAAATTATTTATAATGATACAAAATATAACACATTCGACATAATTATCATATAATTTATGATTATAGTAATTTATTTTTTTTTAAAAAAAAAGATATATCTAGGTTGAAAATTCTTTAATTATTTTATTACTATTATATTAACTAAACAAGGGGAAAGAATGATGTTCTGCATAATAAAACGGTAAGACTACACAATGATAAAGCTTATAGCTCACATTCCTTCCAAAAGTTAAAAAAAAAAAAAATATGATAAAATTAATAATTGTCCTATATCAATTGTTGTTGGCGAATGATAAATGTAAAACATCCTTAAGATGCACATCTATAAAAAAAATATATTTATTTTTTGTATCAGAAATCGCTATGTCAGTTTTAATTTTTTTAGTTAAAATTTTTATACTTTTTACTATTAATGTTTTTAATTTTGAAATGCTTAATATTTTTTTCTATTTGTTGCCCTTTTATATGTAAAATATCACATCGTTTCTTTTCAATGACGTTTGATTTTGCTAATTTATTGTAAATTAAATAAAAATAATATAATATATATATATATATATATATATATATATATATATATCACTACCAATTTAAAATAATAAATGGACCTAAAAGTATCTTATAAAATAAATTATAGATCCATGTTAACTCAATTTTATTAATTATTAAATAAGATTAGATAAACTTGTAGTATATTTTTCTTACATAGATTTGAAATATTCATACTAAGAAAAAAGTGCAAATAAATGTAAACGTACAACGATTACCAACATTAATTATGTGAATTAAAAGAAAAAATAAATGAGTTGTATGTTAAACTGTAGCAGTTGTAAAATATATTTTTTGTGAATATGATAATGAGTTGGTTACTTAATATTTTATCAAACAATGAAAAAAAAATTCAAACTTTTTAATCTTACAAACAATATAAAAGTACATTTTTATCAAATATATTATTACACGTAAAAAATAAAAAGCAATGCATATAAATGTGCTCTAATTTTTTCAATAAATAAAATATTATTTGTGAATAAAATAAAAAACAAATAAAGCAATTATAATGCAATAGAAAAAAGAAAAAGTCCGAATTTTTTTAGAAAAGTATGAATTACTACTTTTAAAATTACTACTTTCAAGAAACAAAAAATCTTTTAAAATTACTACTTTTTTGTTGCTAACATTTAAATATATGTTATCTATAAGAAATTGATTCTCATAAATAATGATTCCATATTATCATAATATAGAAGAAAACTTCAATATGATATCATAATAATAAAGTTCACAGTGACTAAGAGTATTATAGTATTATAGAATTCAAATTTTTCTCATCTGAAATATTTTGACAAATGATATGTTTCTCAATATTGTCTCAATATCAATTCTGTTTTATTATTATTGAAGAATCAAGAAATAATATTTGTCTTGAATTTTCGAAGCATTATGTATGGTGCAAAAAGTTGGACAATAAATGCATTAACTAAGTTAGACACATAAATATTGCAAATCCTAACGAATGAGAAAGATATTATGATAAACAACTCTAAAATCATTGCAACAACCAAATTGTTCAATGATTTGCATATAATAGGTTATATGTAGTACGTCTATCTTCCAAATAAATAACACTGAAAAGGAAATGTCTGATTCTGATCAAATTATTTTTGAATGTTTGAATAAGTTATCAATTTTTTATAGGAATATTTACAATCTTAATTGAGTATTGTGCTCGACCATAAGCACAATTACTTTAGAGTACATACTTTCATATAATATATGATGATTTCAAAAATTAATTTAGGTCTCCGGAAAAGTACATGATTTTGAAAAGTCAACTTTTGTTTTGAGATAAAATTCGTCCCTACCTCATAGGGTAGGTACCAATTTGTCTACATGGAGAGAGAGAGAGAGAGAGAGAGAGTAATGTAGCAGTTTATACAATGACTAAAAAAATATCAAGAATTTTAATGACAGTTGGTTATTTCACAGAGATATTTATGAAAAATTACTAGAAATACCTATAATAATCATACAATCATGAAGTTTGACTATATGTTTAGCTAAAATATTTCTAAGTGTTGAATAAAACAGACGTTTTGCTAAATTAATTAAGATAAATTTTGTAATGCTATTGATGTGTTAAGCTCCAACGAGAGTATGAATGTTTCTTATGAGAATGTCAAAACTAAAATAAAAGAAAATCACTCTTGAATCTATCATAAATAAATAAAAGAACTCATGCAACTATAATATACATTAGATCATTCTTTAGTTATTTAGTTTTTTTTTTTTTAACTAGAAACTCATTTTTCATATTTTTTTGTTGGGATTGTAATATGTTATATAAATCTTTTTATGTCAGGACATCATTATGTTATTTTAAAATAAAAAAATACATTAGGAGTTTACTTGTTCTACATTTTATTTTGTTCATTATGTTATTTTAAAATAAAAAAATACATTAGGAGTTTACTTGTTCTACATTTTATTTTGTTCTTGCAATGCAATCACATATTTAATAATTCATCTTACTAAATTAATCGGAAAAAATCATTCTCCACCACGTGCATCGCACGTGCACTTTACTAGTTTAAATAAAAAAAATAGGGCCCCAAATATATGGAGGCCCTAGGCATGGGCCTAGGTTGCCTCCCCAAAGAGTCGGCCCTGGATATTATATATATATATACACACGCGCGCGCACACACACATTATGTCCTTATTAAGTTATTTAGTGTTTTATTTTTCATTAGAAACTCATTTCTCATATCTTTTTGTTGGGTTTATAATATGTTATTTGATTCATTTTATATTAGGAAACCATTATATTATTTTTGGAAAAAAAAACACGTTAAGAGTTCATTTTGTTTCCTGCAATGATATGTTTAGTATATTAATTAATTTATGATACTAAATTTAATCAACAAAAAACATTCACCACCAAATGCATAGCACGCACGCATACTGAAGTCGGCCAGAGTAATTGTTCGTTGATTCCAGCCAGTTCGGTTCAACTAGGATTTAATGTCATATTTGCAAAATATTTTGGCAACTTTCTTTTCCCAGTTATTCAGCATAATTATAATTTTATTCCCATTATTGCGCTTAGTTTAATTATTTCTTTGGTAGCAGTACATCTATCTGCAGCTCAGTTCCATGATTGCTGCCCTTGCAGTATAGCTGCAATAGGGCTCCTAACAGTGTACTTAGAATAAGACCATATTAGAAAACCTTGAACAAATGACTTGTTGGGTGCGGTTGCGAGCCGTTCAAACGTAACCTGATACTGCCTTGTCTGGTTCAACCTTGTGAAATGGAGCGTTTCGGGCTCGACAACAACTTTGATGCCAACTGGGCGGCCAACAACCACTCTGTAAGTTGATTTAGGGAAGCCGACATTTGTTACCTTCCTAGTATAGTTTTGAGAAACCGGCTCACCACCCGTGAAATTAAGGACAAAGGACGGATAGTTTAGCTGGGCTTCAGGTATGCTTCTCACCCTCGAGCAATCCACCTTGTTGTGCTTCCAAAACATACGGACTTGTGCGTTTGTGTAGTTCAAACCGCACAAGTAAGGGATGTAATCTTTGGATTTGATGTCGTACACGAGCCCTGGATCATTTGCCGCCTGTGGGTTCACTTGGCCTGAACCAGTTGCAAAGATGTCGGCTTCGTAAGAATTTGCGTCCTCGATGGGCTTCCCTGCACGATTCAGAACGTCCGCTGTGGTTATGATGGCCGACTTGATTGCTGCGGGTGACCAATCAGGATGTGTGCTCTTGAGCAGCGCTGCCACTCCACTGAGGTGTGGGCATGCCTGAGAGGTACCAGAAATCATATTGAATGTGGATTTCACATTTGTTTTGTTTTCGCGTGAGATCGGCCACGCTGCCAGGATATTTACACCTGGGCCTAAAATATCCGGCTTCAAAATCCCAAGACTTGCAGTGTTGGGTCCTCTGGAAGAAAAGGCAGCAACCATTGGTGCACCATCCTCTCCAAACACTGTTCCCTGGAAAAATATCTTGGCCTTGGGTTCCGCCGTTAAGTTTATATATTTTTTAACTTCGAGACCATCCGCATAACCGATGTTTGCAGATGGGAGTGAGTTAGCTACCGTGAATGTAGTATTCTCAAGCTTCTTCACATTAACCAGGATCATGGCAGCACCGCCACTTCTTTTAACCGCATATGAAGCTTTAGTGTCATCACCTTTATAGTCACACACGACTATCTTTCCTGTGACCTTGCTTCTATTCAATGAATCTCTAGTGCAGTCTAGGACATAAACAAGCGGCAGAAAATCCTGCGCGAAACCCTTTGGCTGGTAAGCCGCCTGGCCTTTGAAGAACTGGCTCGGTCTGTTTCGCAACACCACAGTTGCCCTCAACTGCCTGTCCATAGTACTCGCGCCAACAGTGAGAGCCCAGGGTACCCCATTCACTACACTATAGTAGTCAGGGCCATTGTTTCCCGCCGAGACGCTGACAACGATACCATGCTCCATCGCTCTAAAAGAAGTTATCGCCATTAGGTCGTCGTAGAATTCAAGTGGTTGTTGAGGGCCAAGAGAAATGGAGAGCACGTCCACTCCTTCCTCAACAGCAGCGTCCATGGCAGCAATAATGCCGGTGCCCGAGCAACCGTGTGTGTCACACACTTTGTATATGGCCAGGTGGGCATGTGGAGCAGTGCCGGCGGCTGTGCCGGCCGCGTTGCCGAAAAAGTTTGCGCCCTCCACAAAGTTGCCGGCTGCCGTGCTGGCGGTGTGAGTGCCGTGGCCATGCTCGTCAAGTGGGCTGCGGGCTTCATTTTTGTCTAGTACACGCAAATCACGTGCGCCAATGATCTTATTGTTGCAGCTGTAGGGGCACTGGAACTCGCACTTTCCCCTCCAATTGGGAGGTGGGGGCAGCATTCCATTATCGTCGAACGAGGGGTGGTCAGGCTTTATCCCGGTGTCGATCATTCCAATGATGATTCCTTTGCCATAACCGACCCGATCCCACAGGCCCGTGTTTGGGATACTCAGGCCAAGGAATTCAGGGGAATAAGTGGTGTGGAGGGATAGGTTTCTGTCCGGCCACGCAGATATGAAGCCGTCCATCTCTTTAATTGCTTCGACCTCGTTTTGAGACAGCCTGGCGGCAAAGCCCGTGAGGACGTGGCGATAGGAGTAAATGATACGCGGTCGTGGGGCCTCCGAGCTCAATGTGTCTGCCACAGGGAGGAATGATTCGTAGTAGGTCGGTAAGTCTTTGAGTAGATCGGCATTGGGCTCTTCGACATGAATGATATAGGTTTGCAAACTGCTTTCAGATGATGCCCGTGCACTAATGCACAACATGACACAAACTATTGTAGTTAGAAATATGGAAGCCATTTCTATGATTTAAGAGAAAGTCCCTCTCTCTCCCCTCCCCTCTCCTATCTCTCTCTCTCTTCCCTCTCTTTCTTTCTCTCCGACTATGGAATCAAGATTGGTTGATACACGGATATGTATTTTCTTTCTCTCTATGATTTTTTTTTTTTTTTTATTGATATGTATTGTTTTGTGTTTACCGTGTATGTTTTCATTTACTATTTATCGAAATTATTTTTTATTTCCCCTTGTGACGAGTGATCAGTACTCTCCCTGACAGTCAACACTCAGTACTCTCCCTATATAACAGTTAACTAAATTATCCTTTGTGGAAAACCAACGATTCTGAATATGATTGTTTGTTGACTCTAAGTCCACCAAATACGTCTATGTAGGTCTGTTTGCTTCATTTCCTTACTTTTCAAAGTGTGCCCCTATTCACTTTCAAGCCTTTTAAAATTGTTGATTATAATATAGATTGTGTAATTCATAGCTAAACAAAATGGTGCTAGCTGTGTAATTCACTCTTTTTTAACAAACATTTATATTTATATTGGGAAATATTGTACTTTTTTTTACTGTTTTTAAAAAATATGTTATTTTCACATGAAAGTATGTATATATATTAAAAATATATGATTATAAGTCTCTCTAAGTGCTATTTGTGAGTTTTCGCTCATCAGGATCTTGTCAAAAAATGTTTTTACGAGATGTGTACACACCGAGGGCTTTTTTTACGATTTTGTATAATAGTAGATTATATTAGCTTAATTTATAATATAAATGTATATGATAGAATTGTTGTTAATAATTAAATTTTAGACTTAACAATCATTAGTTTAAAGTATTAGATGTAATTTTTTTTTGAATTAATAATCTATACGTAAATTAAATACAATTTGTAATAATAAATCTCTCTCTCTCTCTCTATATATATATATATGTATAAATAATTTGCTGGCAAAGCAATAAATAAAATTTAATTAATAAACCGTACATAGGTTTCTCCCCTAAAAACGTTACAAGTCAATTTTATTATTTTGTAGAAAGTGATTTAATTATGTAGTAAATATCATAATATTAGGTAAAAATTGTAACAATTATGTTTAAGAAAGTGATTTAATGGATTTTTTGTTATTCTGATAAATAGTAAGCAATATCATGACCATTGATAAGTTGGATCCAATAGTCCATGATCATTCTTATTTCTTTCACTATCTACCATTCTCATATGATCTCTTATATATATATATATATAGTTGCTAATAGAACAATAAATAAAACTTAATATTGCTACTAATATTATGATATTTACTACATAATTAAATAACTTTCTACAAAATGATAAAATTGACCTATAAATTGTATTTTTTTTTTGCATGAAACATATATAAGATTAATATATATGGTATATAAGATTTATATTGTCTATTTCTTTTTTTTCCTTTGATTGTACTGTAATAATTATTATTAAAATGCTCAAGTTATATACAAAATTATATTATCCACTATATTCATACATTAAATTTTTGTTCATCAAATATTTCTAATAGAAGATTTGATTTAATAAATTTTTAATTATCTTTCAATACTTTAGTTTGCATATTTTTTTAACAAAATAGACTTTTTATTTAGAATTTACAAAGTATATCATTTTCATTTTGAAAAATGGAGATCATAGTAATAAGGATAGGAGATTCTCTTTTGCAAATGTTCAACCATTTTGAGATTAATAGTCAACATATTCGAGAGCCTATGAATTATTCGTATCAACAGTCAACATTGTTGATGCTTATTAATAAATTATTAATAAATAAAGTTATGAAAGATATAAAATTAGAGTTGACGCTTATTAATAAATAAAGTTATTAGAGCTGATGATTATTAATAAATTATTAATAAATAAAGTTGTGAAAGATCTTAAATTTATAAATTTGATAGTGATAACAAAAGGCGTCCCAAGAACAAATCTTATATAATGAATAAATATTTATATTTATATTTTGCATGGACTATCCTCCACAAGGGTCAATCCTACGAGAAGTGTGAATCAAATCGTGAATTTTCTGTATTAATTGAAATTATAAAAAACGATAAAAGAGGGGCATTGGATTATAAAATTTAATCTAACAAAGAATAAGAAAATAATAAAATAAAATAAAATGAATATACAGAGAAAAATCTAGTTTGCGGTTCCGTGTACGCTCTCGCTCAAATAATCTAACTAATTGTGACGTCAAGTTTCACTATCTTCCAAAATTAATAGCCCTAAATGACAACACACTCTGCTACCTGAATTTTTCCTTACAATATATTTAGCCAAAACACGCTCTTCAGTTAAACCTGGAGTGGAGGTATTTATAGAAGAAAATAGAGGCAAGTTCAAAGGTTGGGGAGAATTAGCCGTTGGATTAAAGGAGAATCGAACGGTTGAGGTGAAGCAGAGCAGTTAACGCGCGCGTCGTACGAGGATGCACGGTTTACGGGGCAATGATGACAATCTAACAGATCAAGAGACAGATGTGACAAGTGACAGATGTGGATTTTGAATTTCAAAATGGTGGCCGAAGAGAGAAGTGGTCGAAAAACATAAAGGAACGTGATGAATAGACGATAAACAGTGAACGAGACGATGACTGATGGATGGACGAAAAATCTACTCTTAGATCGAGTCATTCAGACTCGACCAGAGTGGGGGGGGAAGGGGAGGAGGGGACTAGATGATATAGGATATTATACCTCAAGGAATAAACCGATTCAGTGAGCCGATTGAATACACCGAACAAGCCGCCCTGGTCGAACATAATCCGAGTAGGGTGTTCGTGGTCGAATGTAACAAGAGCAAGAACCTCTGGATTAAGAGACAACTTGAAAGGTGATTCCAGTACCTGGAAAGCAGGTCGATCCCGGACCCGTGAAGGGTGTGGTCGAGGATCGATCTATGACACAAATGGTCATCCAATTGACCATTTCCCAGACTCAGAACAATCAGCGAATTGACCTGGATCTGGTTGAGCATTGGAGCACCTTCGAGAAGTGTACACACCAAGGGTTTTTTTTAAGATCTTTTATAATAGGAGATTATATTAGCTTAATTTTATAATATAAATTTATATGATGAATTATTGTGAATTATTAAATTTTAAACTTAACAATCATTAGTTTAAAATATTAGATATAAAATTTTTTGAACTAATAATCTATAAATATATTAAATACAATTTGTAATAATAAATGTTACTAAAAATTAACTAATAACTTTGGTGTAGATCAATTAACGTACAGTTAATGTTAAATATGAATAACACTAAAAATATAAATAAACAACCATTTATATAAATTATTCAATCACCTCTTCACAAAAACATCATATTTTGAGATTTTTTCATAATTTAATTTCTATAATAAAAAAGATAAATAAAATTATGTTCATCAAATATTTCAAATAGAAGATTTGATTGAGTAAATTTGTATTTGCCTTTCAAAATTTTAGTTTTAGCTCAAAAAGAGACTTACTGAAATACAGGCATATGCAACTTGCAAAATGGAGATTACAACATGAAAAATTCTATTTCCAAAACGTTTAAATGGAGATCATAGTAATAATGATAGGAGATTCTCTTTTGCAAATAAATGTTGAACCATTTTGGGATTTCAACATCTTCCAGNTATCAATAGAGTATGCTTATTAATAAATTATTATTAAATAAAGTTTTGAAAGATTGAAACCAGAGTTAATGCTTATTAATAAATTATTATTAAATAAAGTTGTGAAAGATCTGAAATTAGAGTTGATGCTTATTAGTAAATTGATTATTAAAGTTGTGAAAGATCTTTAATTAAACTTGACAGTGAAAAAAAGCGTCCCAAGAACAATTTTTTTTATAATGAATAAATGTTTATATTTATATTTTTCATGGACTAACCTCCACTAGTAGTAGGGACAAGTAAGGGTAAATCTCACGAAAAATGTGAATCACATCGTAAATTTACTAATTAAAATTATAAAAAGCGATAAAAGATGGTAGATTGGATTATAAATTCTAATCTAACTAATAATAAGAAAATAATAAAATCCCATCAAATATAATCAAATTGAATATACAAGAAAAAATCTAGTTCGCAATTTCGTCTATGCTCTCGTTCGACTAATCTAACTAATTGCGACGTCAAGTTTCACTATCTTCCGAAATTACTAGCCATAGATAACAACAAGCTCTGCTACCCGAATTTTTCCTTAGCCAAAACACGCTCTTCAGTTAAACCTAACTACTGAACAGTCTAGAACATGCTCTCTAGATTTAATTCAGTAGTGGCTCTAAAATCTAAGAAAAAAGAATAGTCCAAGTAATAGATATGCTCGACCTACTTTATTATGTTAAATTATTCTCGAAAGTTTTCGGCAATCGATTGCTACTGAAGAATCAAACTAAACAACAATTAGGTATTACAAGTCTAATTCTAGCGCTAGACATGAAAAACTCTATCTATGTGATCAATATAAATAAAGTCAAACACATCATGGTTGATCAAAGAAAAATAACACAAGAAATCCCTAATAAATAGCAAAATAATCAACCACCGTACAAAAGTAGCACATTAATCTAGTCTGAGAGAGTAGCTCGGCTAAGGCCAGGCTGGAAGGACTCCTGGGGGGTACGAAGATAAGACGCTTAGCCAAGTAGCTCGGACATGGGTTTAAGGTGCCGAGTTAATAGAACAGACATGACCTGGAGGTGTCGACCTTAACGAGCCCAACAAAGTAACCGACTTCGAAATATCAAGGTCGGGATGTCAGAGGGAACGATAGACCTAAAGACGAGGTCGGCCTAGATCTAAAGACAAGTCAGGTACGCCCTCAAAAAGGTCACAGCAGAGAGGTCAGGAGGTCGGATTTACGACCTAAGGATCCATTGGCTAAAACAGTAAAAATAGGAAGAATCCAAGTGAGAAGGTAAGTTGTTTATTGTGTTTTTGTGCTTATTTTCTCTTTGTCTTTTTTTTTTTTGTTTCATCAAGTCGAGGTGACTCTGGATAACCAAAATTCTCATCTTTCTCTCTCAAAGCTTGCCTCTTTAATTCAATGCTCTCGAATCTTAGTGCAATTAGCCTTAATTCAACCTCAACCATCATGATTAGTATGTTTAGGGTTTTATTTGCTATTTTTGTGCCTTTGCACAACTAGTTAGTAAGCGAAGCTCCGAACCGTCTTCCTTGAGAGACGACCCGAGTTCGGATAACTCGGTTATCAACCTATACCTCTAGAAAACAACTCAACAAATGGCGCCGTTGCCGGCGAAGTCAAGTAGAACACCTAGTTTGCTATTTAGTTGTCCCTTGTTTATGTGTTTCTCTTGTTTTTTGTTCTATTTGATTAATTTATGTGTTTCTCTTGCTTTCTCTTACTTTTGGTAGATAGTTTGTATTTATTTCTTGTGTTCTGTTCTTGTTTCCCGTTGGTGCGTTCATGGGTATAGTGTATTGTTTGTGTTTATGCGCGGTAGACGAGGACGTGAAACCCGAGAGAAGACACAACCAATCGATCTATACATTGAGCTTAACATAGACGGGCCACGAATCGAGCCGAAAACAATGGCGAATCAAGAGGAGCAACTACCACCGCCACCTCCGAACATGAGGTATATTGCTCGGCCTATCATTGGTCACAACACCTCATGCCTCGTTCTCAGAGAGGCGTCCCGGAATTACGATCTCAACATGACTCATCTAAATCAACTCCCTTCATTTTATGGTCTCCGCAAGAGGATATCCTTAATTTCATCCGAGAATTCCATTCTACGGCCAATACCTTTCCTCTACAAGGTCTTACCGAGAACTAAATTCGAATGCGTTGTTTCCCATACACATTGAAGTATCGAGCTAAGACATGATTCATGCCGCTACTCCCGAACTCGCTTACCAGTTGGGAAGCCGTCTACGAGAAATTCATGGGGAAGCATTACTCTCATCCAAAGACGACAGATCTTCATTCTCAAATGGCGTGTTTTAGTCAAAATCTCCACCTTCCGCGAAGCGTGGGAACGATTCAAAGGATAACAACTCCAATGTCCACATCATCACTTTTATCTCGAGGTCTTGAACAATTCTTCTTTGACAGGCTTCATCAAACGCTTCAATACATGGTGGATCACGAGGCTGCAAGAGATATAGGGAGCCACACGGAGGAGAAGATCTATGACTTGTATGAGATTTTGAGCGAAAATTCCCAAACGAATAGTGTCCGGAAGCGAATTCCCGTGAACGAAACCGCTCCTACATCTGGCTCATCGACAAATGATGTAGTTTTGGCCAAGTTGGCCTCGTTGGAGGAAGAACTCAAGTACCTTCGCTTATGGGATGCAAAGTCGACTCAAGTAGCGATGGCAGAGGTATGTGCAAGTTGTGGAGATAGGGGGCACGGAGCCCACGAGTGTCCGAGGTATATGTAGCCGACTTATGACCCGAATCTTAAAAGGGTCCCTTTTTATGTGAATGTTGTGCAAGGGTATGCTCCCTAGGTCCAAAAAGATCCCTATTCGAACACTTATAACCCCGAGTGGAGGAAACACCCGAACTTTTCTTGGAGGGACCCAAAGGTGAACTATGCGCCACAACCGGCACCACCTCAAGCTTATGCCCTGCCTCAAGCCTTTGCACCTTCTCAAAACAGAGCGTTTCAACCGAGGCCCGAGTTCCAAGGCTACCAACTAAGGCTGGAATTCAAAGAATATCAACAAGGGCATGGAGATTTCGTCCAAAGGCAACCAATCTCAAAAAATGTGAGTTTCGCTCATCAGGATCTTGTCAAAAAATGTTTTTACGAGAAGTGTACACACCAAGGGGTTTTTTTTATGATTTTTTATAATAGAAGATTATATTTTATCTTAATTTATAATATAAATTTATATGATGAATTCTTGTGCATTATTAAATTTTAAACTTAACCAATCATTAGTTTAAAATATTATATGTAAAATTTTTTGAATTACTAATCTATAAATATATTAAATACAATTTTTTATAATAAATCTATATATGTAATTTGCTGGCAGAGCAATAAATAAAACTTAATTAATAAAACCTACATAGGTTTCTCCCCTGAAAATGTTACAAGTCAATTTTATTATTTTTTTGGAAAGTAATTTAATTATGTAGTAAATATCTTAATATTATGTAAAAATTGTACAGTTATGTTTAAGAAAGTGATTTAATGGGTTTTTTGTTATTCTGATAAATAGTAAGTACTATTATATTTTGGTGTAACTGTTACAATACTGCTACTACATATCTCTCTTTTTTGTTGTAAAATCTCTCTCTCTCTCTCTCTCTCTCTATCTATATATATATAAGTGATTATATAAGAAAGAGGAATAGTGAAAGAAATAAGAATGATCTTACACCATTAGATTCATAATATCAGTGGTCAAGATACAGTCAAAATTGAATAAAATGGTTAAAATCACGGTGGCAAAAATGTAATTAAATAGAATCTTGTGATCAAATATATACCATTATGGGCAAATCTGTAATTTTTTCACCCACCCACTTGGTGGGTCCCACCACAAACAAAACCATCCATTATCTCTCATCTGCACCCACACCAACAACACTCACAACGTCGGCAGGAGCACACAGTCACTTTCTTCATCTGGCCGCCAGCCGCCGTAAAATCATCATCTGCCGCCGTCCTCCCATAACCCCGCCGCCAGTCGTATTTCAACCCCGCCGGCGGATGTCCACCATCCCACCATCGTCGTCCACCAATCTCGCACTCTCCTCCGTACTCAGCCACAGCTCCGTCGTCCACCAAATCAACCGTGGTGTCCATCTCCTCCGTCTCGTCACCTATCACTCGCCATCTCCACTGATTTTCTGCTGAAATGGCCTGTGAATCGGGGCCTTCTTTCTGCGATTCAACATTTGACGTGGCCTATGCGTGTAATCGGGGCTCACAGAGGTCATCACGTTGACGTCGAGGCGGCTCTCAGACGACGGCGACGACGACGGCGACCTGTGCGTCAGAGAATGTCGGAAAATATAGATTATTTGTAGGGCTCTCAGACGATGGCGACGGTTGTCTAGGAGGGGTCTCCGGCGGCAACACTGTTGTGGAGATGCTTCGGTGGCAACGACAGCCTGTGCGGCGGTGACGGTGGCTGGAAACCGACGCTGGAAGTGTCTGTGTTTTTTTAGTGGTTGAGGGACTTATTTTGGAGAACTTGATAAGGCTTGAGGACTTATATGCAAATTTAAAAAGTTAAATATATTTCAAATAAGTACATGGGTAAAATTTGCAATTTTTGAATATGTTAATAAGTGCATCATATTGATGAATAAATTGCACATTATGGGGTGTACATATTTCCATTAAAATACTATTATATTTTTATATGAAATTATTAAAATATTAATAACTACACAACACTAATAAATAAATTGCACAATAGTGTGTGTAAACATGCACTTTAAAAATTCATGTGAAGCTTAAACATATGTTTATATATTTTGATCAATATAGTGCAATCCGACAATCACTAATGTGCAATCATTCTATTATAAACGTGCACTCGAATTGCAGTTCTTTTTTAATTATTTATTCTAATCCAAACTAAGTCCAAAATAATTGGTTTATTTGATTGATTAACCAATTTAATATAACATTTGTGCAGCCTATCGAGCATGTATTTTTTTTTACGTGCATTTCTGTATTAGGAAGCTTTAAATGATGTGTAATTTAATTGACATTAATATGCATTAATAAAATTATTTATATAATAAAATTATATATAGTATTTGTAAATTTTATTTAATATTCTCTATTATTTTCATTGATAATTAATATACATATAATTTAGTCAGTTATATTATTTATTTATTTATTTATTTTCTGTAATATTATGATGCGCATTTTCAAACTATTGTGCATTTTATTGTTCGATCGATTCTGTTATTTAGTTTTTTAAATAAACCCTAAATGGAACCGAATTAACCTAGATTTTAATATTTGTGGTAACTTGTACTGTTATGCTGATGTGCATCATGGAAAATAAATTAATGTGCATTCCGCCAAAAAACTATGGTCCATTTTGATAATGCATATCGTTTTCACAAATGCACTATTTTGGGATAAAGTACAATACCACATGCAGTAAAGTGAAACTTGTATAACAATATGGTGCAGGTTGTATAAGGATAATTTTAATGTGCAAATCCAAACGCGATGAGGTGCTTTGCAAAGAACATAATTGTGAACTATCAACTTATTTTTTATTGATTTAAAAATTTAACCTATGAACTAAATTGCAATATAATTCAAATTTCTTAATTTACAATAAAGTCCCTTGATTATATCTAATTTACAAAAAAAGTCCTATCCCTACAATTTCCAAATCCCTAATTCATGTGCAATTTGTTTCCATTCTCTGGCCTAGGCTGACGGCGCCGTCGTCGGGACGGTGGATACGGCTGCGGGAGGGGCGGCGACGGCGACGTGGAGGACGGAGATAGCCGCCTCGCCGGACATGAGATCTGGATGGCGGCGGCAGCGAGAGTGAGCAGCTTCGAAATTTGACGTGGCGGCTGAGAAGGAAGATGACGATAGCAACGACGAGATTTGGACGGCGGCCATGAGTGGTGCCGACAAGGAGTGGTCACCCCACCATGTCAGACGACGAGATGGTCGTCGAGCTCCTGGTGAGACTTCACCACGCGACGCCATCTCTGCTCGATTGGGCCGGGATGATGATGAAGACGGCGGAACTGGCACGGCGGATGAGAAATACTGGCGATGGTGGACCTGTGCGACGGTCAGTTCTGGTTTAGCAACACCAGACAGTGTTCCAGCCTCCTTGACAGAAGTAGTACGGTCTGGCAGAGCTTGTGCGGCGGCCATCAGGGGGGAATCGGCTGATGGCGCTGGGCAGATCCGGTGGCTGGCCGTCGGAGGTGGAGCTGGTGTATATGTGTGTGCATGTGTTTGTGGATAGTGTGTATTGTGTGTGAAAAATAATGAAGGGTAGGTCCCAGGTTGAGTTGGTATGTTCTGATTGTGTAGGTTGTGATTGGGTAGTGTGTGTGTGTGTGTGTGTGTGTGGCGTGTGGTATGTGTGTGGGGCGTATGTTTGGAGTGTGTGTAGCATGTGTTTAGGATGTGTAGTGGCCACATGGCATATAATAATTGGATGTGTGTGAGTGGTTAATTGGTATGGGTCCTACAATTGATAATAAAATGTCTAAAATACTCTTAATGAGTATATAAATACTGAATTTTTTATTACCGTTAGATCATCCTTTCCAATGGCTACATGTATTGCTTTCACTAAGCATAATTCTCACTTGAACCCAACCATATATATATATATATATATATATCATACTAATTTAGAATAATAAATGGACCTAAAAATATCATATAAAATAAATTACAAATCTATGTTAAACTAATTTTATTAAGTATGAAAATAACATAAGATAAACTTGTGCTATATTTTGCTTATATAGATTTAAAATATTCATACAAACAAGAAAAACGTACAAAATGGATGTAAACTTACAACTATTACCAACATTAACTATGCGAATTAAAAGGTGAAATAAATGAGTTGTATTTTAAATAATAACGTCCAGGAGGGGCGGGGATTGGGCAGGATCCCCAACCTGTGCATAGATCAGGGCCCCAAAATCGGGAGCCCAAAATATCAAAGAGCAAGATACAAAAGTCTACAGAGTCTCACTAATCAAGATCAAAAACAAAGGAGAAAACAAAAAAGAAAAGCCGAAAAACGAAAAAGAAGCAAAAACTACAAAACAAAACAAAGTCGATCTTCGGGCTAACAGATGCCCAAAATAAATGACTATACTAATGAAACCAGAAAATCTACACTAATGAAAGCGGAACGCTGGGTATCCAAGCTGGTACATCCGTACAAGAGTGCGAATACGGAGTGGAGCAGTGTCGGTCTGAAATATATGTGTGTCTGGTATGGTGGCGCCAAGGCTGGCCAGGTAGTCAGCAGGTCTGTTCCCCTCACGGAAAATGTGTGTAATCCTGTGATGGACTGACCGAAGTATATCTCTGATGCGCATAAGCGGGTGCTGAATCTGCCACGAGCCCTGATGGCCTGAAGTCAGGAGGGTGGCGACAGCCGCAGCATCCAGCTAGATCCATATATGACTAGAGAGGTGGATAGAAATCTGAAGGCCAATCTGTAGTGCCTGAATCTCTACGTCGTAGCTCGAGGAGGCCTGAATGGACGCGTGGAAGACGGTGATGAGGGCGCCGCTGTGGTCCCGAATCAAGCCTCCTCCTCCGGCAACTCCAGTGTGGTGATCAAAGGAGCCATCAGTGTTCAGCTTGACCTACGGAGAGTCAGGTCGAAGCCAAACAACAGCCTGGCCTGAAGAGGCCGAACAGGTGGTGGTGGGACCACCATGTAGCGATGCGGTGGCGTGCAGCCTGTCCAGTCTCGGGCCGTGAGCCTGCCCAATGCGATGAGGAGTGAAATGTGTCTCTCTACCTGCAAAACAATGTGAGAAAACATAAAAGTAATATCCATATGCTTCGCACTATTTCTTTCTGTCCCAGTGAACCAAAGGATCAGACAAGGAATGAGGAAGCCCACGTGTCTAAGGTGTGTGCTCTGTGAGAAAAAACTCAGAAGCTCAAAAAAACTGTATGTGGTGGGTAGGGATATATGAGTCCAAGTGGAAAAATGTTCCCACACTCTCCTCACAATCTCACTCTCTAGAAAAAGGTGGGTAAAGCTCTCGGTCTCATGGCGTCCAGTCTCAGAACAACACACACACCGAGAGGGGAAGGAGATCCCTCTCGCGTGTAGCACAGTATCGACGGGTATCCGGCGCAAAAGGAGGCGCCAAAGGATCACCGAAATAGTAGGCGTGAAAAGGTCACTCCAGATAGCCCCGAAGAGGAGATTAGGCCGATCCCTCAGCCTGATCTGCTCCCAAGCCGAGGTAGTAGAAAACACACCAGATGATGTAAGTCTCCACCTCATGGTATCCGAACCGTCCCCCGAGATGGGTATCTGCTGGATCCTATCTAATAACTGCTCGCTAAAACCCGCCCCGGAGCCCAACTCTCTATCAAGCTTCCCCCTATGCCACGACCCGTCCGTCCAAAGGTCGCGTACAAGCAGGTAGGGGGAATGAGACACCTGCCTATCTCTAGACAACGGCCTATCACCTAACCACCACTCATCCCAGAAACTAACCTCGCCATCCCCCAAAACCCAAAAAATGTGATCCTGGGCGCGCCTACCAACCATAGTGAGGCACCGCCACTGTCTGCTATCATGCACAACCGCCGTCACCCAACAAGGGTGGTTGGCTCGTCTAGAGCAGTACTTGCCGCGAAGGTACTGGGCCCAAAGCGACTTTCTTTCTCTGAAGCGCCACCACAACTTATATGAGAAGGCAGTAACAATATCCCTGAGGCGGCGGATGCCAAGGCCACCATCGGGGAGGGGGCGGCAGATAGAGTCCCAACTCACCCAGTGAGTACGTCTCCCCCTCCCAGAACCGTCCTCGTAACCCCAGAAATAACGAGCCATGATCTGATCAAGCTCGTCAAGCGTAGACCTAGGGGGGTCGAGGACCATAAGCAAATGAATCGGAAGAGAGCTAAGAGTGCTCTTGATCGGCGCTAGCTGACCACCAAAAGAAAGATGTCTATGCGACCAACCAGAGATCCTGTCGCTCATCCTCTGCCTGACGCCTGCAAAGAGCGCTCTCGTGAGGTTGCCCTTATATAAAGGGACCCCGAGGTAGGTAATGGGAAGGTCGCCACGCGCAAAGCCAGTAATGTCGTGGACCCGCTGAGCCCACCTGTCCACGGTGGCAGATGAGAGGATGAAGGTGCTCTTCTGCACACTGACCAGCTGACCGGTGACCAAGCCATAGTGCACCAGAAGGCGCATAAGCTCGACCAGTCCATCATCATCCGC